AATTAAACCCTCATAGGTACATTATGGAGAGGTTGACAAGTTAGGAGATAAAGCACGCAGAAACTAGCAAGAGCATTGGTTTGCATAGTGAGACAAATCTCTAATTGTTTGAAAAAATGCTTAAAAGTAAAGAAAATCGATATAAACGTTACAAAACATAAATGTTTTGTAGCTTTTAATGTGTAATTATCTTAATATCGTTTAAAAATCTGTGTCATAAATTACATGCATTTTAAACTGTGAAATTTTATTAGATTTTGATTTTAATAGAGCTTTTTTTAACAAATATTGTTAAAAAATAAAATTTAATAGTGGTCATGTAAATCTATAATGACAGGTTGTCAAACTGCCTAATTTAATTATTAGAACTAACTGCTTATCCTTAAAAATTATCTCCACATATTAAAGCGAGTTATTGCCTTTCATTAATATTCACTGTAGTCGCAAGATAAAATATGAAAATGTAAAAATTCAAGTAAAACTTATTCTAATGTATCTACTGAGAGTTAAATAATACAAAACAACTTGTCACCTCTGGTGCTTTAATGGCTTATTCGAACCTTAAAGTATATTAACTGGGTTTACAACCCCTGAAACTGTACACGAAGCTATGACACTAATTGCATCAAACAAAAGCTTGACTAACTTTCAACACTTGCCAATCGTGCCTACATCTGGCCTTTCAGGTTTGTTCTAATCTGCAGGTCTCTCTCTAGGACAAGAACAGCAGCGGTGACAACATTCAGTCTTTTGTTATGAATCATGTTGATTATGATTTTACTTCTTATTTTAACCTATGCAGTTTGACATAAAAATCTACCTGCTTATTTACTAAACCTCTAGACTGACCAAGTATGTGACAAAATAAGACATAAAAAAAATCAACATAATGCTAATTGTTAGTAAAACGTAAATGTCACTTATCTTCTTTAAAATATGACAAACAATCATAAGTGTAAAATATTTAATGCTACTTGATAAATTGCATAAAGTTTATTTTATTTTCAAACTTATTCACAGTTATGTTAATTAATTCATGTTTAGCAATAATGCTTACTACTTAGGGATCTATGGTATTACAAAAGTGAAATTCAGGCATAGATAATATCTTCAATTGAATTATTCAGTTCCCATTTGCTTATAGGTCCTTAATTTTTTTTCATTAATGGTCCTTAAAAGTCCTTAAAAGTACTTAATTTTCGTGTGCAGAAATGTGTACGAACCCTGATTCAGTCTAAATTTTGCACCAAAAATTATTGTGCACATGTAGGTTCACAATGGTTTGAATGCTCTCTGAACTCATGATAGTTCGATAAAATTTGTTTTCTCAAAAGAAACACTTAATAGTTTTGGAACTTTCCGTAAAATTATTCATACAGCTCTTCTCAGTATGACAGAATACAGTAGTTACACTTCAAACTACTGAGAATGTTAAACACAATGCAGTGCAAAGAGCATTTAAAGGGTGAAGCTTGCATGGAGGTCTCTCAATACTTTGAACTAAAAATTGAAAATTGAAGCTGTCAGTTTTCCCCCAAGAAATTTTCAGTATCTTCAATTTTAAATTGCTGGAAGGTTATATATAGTTATAGTTACATATAAGGGCCTAATACAGTTACATATAAGGGCCTAATACAGTTACATATAGGTGCCAATTACAGCTATTCAATTTCAGTGCCAGTTACAGTTACACAGGAATTGGATCCAAATGGCCATCAAGTTTGGTGACAAAAATTAGTCACCAAAACCATCACAAGCCTGGTGCTGTCTTCTAAATTTAGTGAGATAGCCATTTACTTTAGTGTTAAATAAACTTTTCCCTGCAACCTTACTTTTCCGGAAGTTAGCATTTTTGAGGCATTTTATGCTACAATATACAAGAAATACTACAATTTTACATATAATTTCACTAAAACTATTTGCATATATACAAAATTTGTAACAATATATTTAGCCTTATATGTATGCTGCAGTAACCTTGCTTGGTAATATATATGTATTTTTTGCACTTGGAATGAAATGTGCTTTCGCATCTTGTGGGGCTTTTTTCACCAAGAGCTGCTATTAAAAAACTGAAGTATTCCTGAAAATTGTTATTTAAATTTAAAAATAAAGAAGTACTTCATTTACAGAAACTTAATGATCATTAGGCGAATGTGTTTGAAAGGGAAAAAAAATCAGTGATATATCATATTACAGTACTAAAGTATAGTAAAGTCTTTAATCCGGACATCCATAATCTGGAATAATCTATAATCCATACCTCAAAGCTACAAACTTTCTGCACATGCGTAAAGGCATAATGCATTTACGCATGTGCATAATACCTTTACGCATGCACATTTAATGTATAACGGATGGTATAAGCTAGGCTAAAATTATCTATTTCAGTTAATGTTGCAGATTGCGTTGTTCCTTAATCTTCTAATTGGATCCGGCTTATTATTTTTTGCAGACTGTTAGAGCAATTTTATAAAAAGTAAGCTTGAACTTTCGATTATGTCAAAAAGAGTTTCCGATTCTGGAGCTGCCAAAGGATCTACAAAGCAAAAGCATGTTTCGATATACCACTTCCGATAGTGAAGAAAGTGACAGAGAGGTTATTGAACACGAAAAAATTTTGATTGACAGGTTAGTCGGTATTCTCGACACAGCAATTACAGGACTTGAACAGTGGAACTAAACAAGAAATTATTTCTGTTTATAGAATTAAAGAGAAAGTATTAGAACAAAAAAGGAAGCAACTTAAACAACTTACATTGAAAGAAATGTTTAATAAAGTAAACAAATAAATTTAAGCTTTTTTTTTTTGTAAATTTTGATACCCTCTAGATCAAAATTGCTCTTTATTTCATAAATTACGGTTTCATATATTTAATTTTATAATTTCTGCATGCCATCTTACCAGATTTAAATTGATGATCTATAATCCGGAATTGCCAAAGTCCTGACGAGTCCGGATTAAAGTCTTTGTACTGAAATAAACAAATAAGAATTCTACCATATGTTTCATTGGATTTTTTGAAAAATTATATAATTATTTTCTCTTTCATTGAAGAAATAAAAAAGAATTAATTTTCAAATAAGTGCTATTAGTAAATTTATCCACTTCCATTAATGTATCATTATTCATCTCTTTCCTTTTTTTCCTGAGCTCAGAAACACAGTTCATAGAATTATGCAGGTGCAATCCCCTAATCAAATATATGTGTGATTTCTGTAGAGTATTACTTTTTCCATTATTGCTTTTCTATTTTTGTTTTTTGAATAAATGAAGTTTGTGAATTATTTTTTCTCAGTAGTGTTAATTTTTTCTTCAGCATTCACAATTCGGCATTTTCATTGTTAATATTCTGTTTTGTTTTGTATGTATTCTTTTACATGTTCCTTCTTTTATGTATTTTACTTTATATTTCTATTTTTTGTATTTTAATGTTTTTATTTTGTGTTTACGTATTTTTATAATTGTCAAACAGGCTCAGGGCAAGAAAGCTTCACATTAGGAAATTCTTCATTTTAATTTAAGCAAGCAAATTTAAATTGTTACTAACTACAAGTACTAGATGTTGCTGTAGCTTTATGTGTACTTCAGTGCTATACTTTAAGTTTTGCTTTCATTTTCAGTGGTATTATCTGGGAACATCCAATAATTTTTATTTCTTTTGCTAATATCAGAGAATGTAATCATTATGCTTACAAAGAAATCAGTGTGGAAATTCATTATGCCAAATGTATGTGATGTTTTTTTATGTCCACAGAAGAGATGACTGTGTCTGCCAAGCAGTGTGAAATAAAGTCCTGCTGATTTGAATGAAGCTCTTAAATGGATTTTACCCTTTTGCTTACAATAATGTCCCTGTTTTTATAGATGTTTTATCTGCATTAAATTGTACTGGTAACTGAATTTTTTTGGAAACAAACACATGTTTTAACTCATTCAGGATTGGTAAAAGGAGAAAGAAGTACACCACCAGTTTGCACATTCCAGAAGTATATGTATGATTTTCCTTGTTAAGCCTAATTTCATTTACAAACTCATTTAAAATCACTACTGCAATTAAATATGCTGAAATTTATAGTTTATTATCATTTATATTATCTGAATATGCTGTAATAAAATTTTCATATTGTTTCAACAAAAAGCAGTTGTGAATTTTAAAGAGAATATTTTCATTTTAATAAAAAAAGTTATACCTGTACACTATTGGGGGAAAAAACAGACCCTTTAAAAACTTTAACAAATTACTAGTAAAGCTACTTGATTTGTCTAAGCAAATTTCATAAATATAATGGAATGAATTAACTATTTGCATTTATAAAGTCGTATCCTCCCAAAAGAATCAGACTCTTGTATTTGTTTACATGTTCAGATTCCCCCGATTCAACAAAAATAAAACTTAGAACTGAAAGTGCATATTGAAGGCCAGTGCTCAGTGGAACATAATTCAAAAATATAATAAACTTCAACTGCCATTTAGTGTCATGTAAAAACGTTAATCAAACATTCTGATTTGAAATCACACTGGTGTGATCACGGGTCTTAAGACTCGGAAAGGCTTGTCACATATATGATACCATGGGCTGTGAGTGAAGAATATCATGATCCTGAATAGAATAAAGTGGTCAGCCAAATCTGCAGATTTAAATCTGACAGAGAATATTTGGGGTGGATATTTTTTGGAAGAACTTTTGTATGATGCGAGTCTTCTAAGAAAAATTTTAAAGATTTAGAAATTGCTTTGTGGAGAAGGGGAACTCACTGCCTCGTGTTTTAATTATTTTGATTTTGGGTATGAAATCTAGTGTGACATCTGTAGTAGGATTAGGATTGCCATATCCTGTATTATAGTCAGAAACTTTAATTTGGAATTTTTTAACAGTTTTATACTTCTATGCATTCTTAATATTTTTAAGGCACATTTTTATCAAACTGCTCATAGCTTTCAAAAATAAAAAAGTTTTGAACTCCTTTGCTTAATAAAGATATAATATTTTTACAGAAATATTTTATGGTATGGAGCACTCAGCTTGAAAGTGCCATTATGACAGTTGAGTGTGGAGGTGGTCATCGTTCTTGGGATTTTCACCTCAGCAGTGAAGGAAAAGCCACATTTGTTGCCATTAAAAAGAAGGATATTATATTCTCAGTTGAAGATCTACATTTTGCACTTAACAATTCTATATTAAAAGTAGGCCTTTTATATAGAATTTAAATTTAACATTTTAAATATTTTTCAATTCCTTGCTATTAAATTACTTTGTTAGTGTATTTCTGAAAAATCTATAGTTATTTGAAAACTGTAAAAAAAAGAAAACAAAATTATATTATTTTATTTTATGAAGTTTCTGTGTCAAATTAATATTCGAAAATACAGAAAATATAAGACAGTTGACTGTTCTTATTTGTTTTGTTTTGTCCAAGACGTTATCTCAGACATATGAATAGAATATGAATTAGATAATATGCAGTATGTTCTAATAGCTATTTCTAGTTTATATATGAATGATTAAACTAGCATGTGAAAATGTAACTATTTTTCTTTTATCTTAAAATAAATGCTTCTCACTTAAATTTACTTTGTTTCTTACCTAAATTTACTTCATTTTCTTTCTTACTTAAAAATGTACTGCTAATATATTTTTAATCTGCATTTCTTAGAAATATATTGCTAGAAGTTTCTGTTAGTTTAGTATTAAGTTTATATTAAATTTTACTTTGCAGCTATTTTTAGGTATTCTTTTCTAATAATAGTTCTTTGTTTCTTTTTCTTTTAGCTGGGCATCTCAGGGCAGAAGTTTTGTAACATGTGTTTCTTGTTTAACTCAAGATCACATTCTTGTGGTAAGGACTAGAAAACAATTTTTTTATTAAAATTTTATGAAAACCTCCACATTTCAATCATTTTGAATAATGCAACTTAAAGTTCACTGCAATGATTTTTTTTTTTTTTAAATTTTATTCTGTATTTCAATAAGGTGAAAAACTATGCAGAAAGTGTAAAGTTTTTGTAATGTGTAAAACATTTCTTTGAAGGGAATGTGTAGCTAATAAATGTAGAAAATTAAATGAAGAGACTGCTATTAATTATTATGTCCAAATTTTAACATTGTCATTAAGAAGAGAATTCTTTGATAAAATCGTTTTTTAATCACAATAAGTTATAATTTCAATATTCAAAATATTGAAAAAAAATAAAGTTCCTGCTGAGACCTGTTAGATTACCTGTTGTAGCTTAAAACATGTTATAGTGTTGACAAACCTGGTATTTAAATGATGAATGAAAATAACAGGTTTCAGCAGGTACTGTATTTTTTTTAATATTTTAAAAATTGGAATAATAATTTGTTCTTTAAATGGTATATTTAATCATTCTACTGATTTTAAAAGATATTAATTACAAATCTGATGAAATGTGAAATGACAAAATTTATGTTTCAAAAAGTAAGGAGTATTTACTGTCTCAAGCAAATGTCTTATTTGGAAGTTATTATTTATCTGCCTCATAATTATAAACCATATTTAAGGTTAAGAAGTATTAAAATTTGCTCTTCTTGTGAGGAAAAAATTAATTAAAAGAAATGAATATATTAAAGATCTTCACACTGTGCACATCAGTTTTATCAAAAAGTATGATAACTATTCTAAAGTACACTCATATCCATAAATTAAGGATAATTTGGAGTCATGCAGAAATCGAACTCTAAAATAAATATATCACCTGTAAAATCACTATACACATCTTCAAGAATCATATACAAATTTCAGGAAGTAACCAGATGACACCAATGGTACATCACAATGACGAGAGTGTAAAGAGAGTGATATATAAGGAATACAGGCAAAGAAGTAAAATTGTTCGCAGGCGCTTTATAAGCATTTCATTGCAATAACCGAATAGTTATGACACAAAGGACGTATTTGGATGATTTTTTACGTGGTAGAATTATCGGCCGTCTGGAATGTGGGCGTACCCAACTGGAAGTATCAGATGAACTTGGAATTGCCTAGAGTGTCATCTCCAGGCTTTGGTAACGATTCCAAGATGATGGTAATGTGAGTAGACATTACAGCACAGGTCACCCCAGAGTTACAACGCCAAATGAGGACCGGTATTTGCAGTTACTGCCAAAAGAAACAGGTGGAGCACAGCCTCAGACCTGTCTCGTCAGCTCTCTTCAGCCACTGGTACGACAATTTCAAGGCAGACCGTGTACAGACGCTTAGGGCAGATTGGTGTATATGCTCGTAGACCTGTCAGATGCGTTCCACTTACTGCAACTCATTGTTGCCTGCGGTTAGCCTGGAGTAGAGAGCATGCATTGTGGACACCACAGCATTGGGCTTGTGTGATGTTTTCCGACGCGTCCAGGTTTAGCTTGCAGTCTGATTGTCGCCGGACTTTTATATGGAGAGCTCCAGGTACCCGTTACCACCAATAAAACATCATTGAACGACACCGTTACGGTGGTGCAGGAGTGCTCGTTTGGGCTGAAATTATTCTGGGTTCCAGAACTGACCTGCATATTCAAATTGGAACCATGACAAGCCAAATCTATCGGGACATCATTCTGGAACAACATGTACGTTTGTTTCGGGGCGCGATGGGCGCACAATTTGTGTTTATGGATGACAACGCCCGTCGTCACCGTGCAAACATCATAAGCAAATGCCTTCAATCGGAGGATATCATCCATATGGACTGGACAGCATTCTCACCGGACTTGAATCTAGTAGAGCACGTGTGGGACATGCTTGGTCGACGAGTTGCAGCCTGTCATCCTCCTCCTACATGTCTACAGGAACTTCGGAGAGCATTGCTTTTTGAGTGGTGTAATATCCCCCAAGATCAGATCGATAATTTGATACTCAGCATGCCTAGGTGTTGTATGGACTGTATTGCATCGTCTGGGAGACATACAATGTATTAACAATCATATCAACCATGTAATATTGGTTTTTTGTAAATAGGTGTTTTTTTTTGTAATTTGCTCCAGGGAGAAAAAATTGCTAATTTTTTTAATATATCAAACATATAGCATCTTTTTTTGCTCTTTACCTTTTGTTTAATAAATAAGCTTTACAAATAAGTAAGATTTGTTTTGCTTCTAACTCTTCCTTTGCCTGATTTTGCATTATCCTTAATTTATGGACATGAGTGTATTTAATTATATCAATTCATCCAAAAATTTTGAAGTCCTCCTGAATGCAGCATAAGTATAAATTCTAAGTCCAATAAAGCAGCTGAAAATACTTAGACAATTTTAACTGAAATTCCTTAGCTGCTTGGAGGAATAAATTTCGTTTTAGTGCATTTTTACTATGTTCTTTTTTTATTTTTTCTTATTTTGTATTAGGAAATATGTTTCATGATACTAGTAACCATTTGAAGATCTTACAGATGTTGAAAATTTTACATAATTGCAGGTAACTTGTCTGTTGTGGCATCTGGAGGGGAAGATAATATACTACAAATACTTGGCTTTTATAGTATCCTTAACTGTTTTCTTTCTATTTAAAGGTATTAAAAGTATTTATATGCTTCTCAGTTTCATCCAGCAGCTTGCCATATTTTGCTAGTGATGGAATATTTCTAATTATTAAAGTAATTCAAAATTTATTAATATATATTCGAGTAACTCCTCAAAATTATTTCATTTGTTTTTGACTTCATTTTCTTTTGAAGTAATTTCATCTCTATTATTAAATAATGAAGAATTTGTATGTATGTATGCTCCTTGTGGTGTGGAAAAGTGGTGGAACTTAGTGCCACCAAATTTTGATCATACATAGAAAATTTGGGCAGACTTTTCTAGTTTGGTCATCAGTGAGAGTTGAATATCGACAAACTTTTTATTGTTTATTATCACAACCTTGCTAAACAGTCTAAAATTATTTGAACTGGTGGAAGATTGATTGGGACAAAGTGTTATCATTATAAACTTCTTCCATCATATCTTCACAGTTTGTAAAAAAAGTATGATATTCATTCACTGTTCCTCATCACTTTTTGATCTGGCTATCTCAGATGTTAGTTCAGGAAGAACCTGAAAGAGAGCGAAAAAGGCAATATTTTCTTCCACATGATAGCAATTTATTTTAAAAGGATGCAATATGCTTTTGGAAATTATCTTGATTCGGGTATTATTGAGCACATTGTGTATATAACTTCTTTGTTACATAAGCTTTAGTTTTTTTTTTTTTTTTGATTGATTGATTTTAATTTAGTACATTACATTTTAAATTACTTGTTGAGATATATTTACTATGCAAATCTGGATGTGGATGCATATTTTCTCAAGAAGAAATAATGTATCACACCTTCCAAAGTCCAATATCTTGTGCCAATGTTTCTCTGGCAAAGAATTCGGCATACATGGTAGGAAATTCAAACTTCTTCAGAGGAAATAGGTACTGGAGAGATAATTACCTTGTTATTACATCTTAAGCTTTTCATTACCTGATAATTTATTTATTTTACTTGCAGTAAATCTTTTATTTGTACATTACACAGTATCTTATAATTTACATTAGGGCTTGCTTTTCTAAGCACTTTGCTTTATTGTAAACCTTTTATTTGCTATATATTTTAAAGTATTTACACAATAAGTCAATATAAATTTCCTTGGGTGTTACTGAGGAGTCTGTGTAATTCTGGTAATTATACTGTTCTGTGTTTTAAGTAACAGCAAAACTGGGCTATTATTGAAATTTATTTTCTTCTGTCAAAATGAAACTGAATTCAAACATAATGTACTCTAAAAATTCTGATATTTCATTAGCCTTGTATCACTGCTTTATTAATATAAAAGGTAATTCCCATTAATCAATAAAATTTATATATCATAACTAATATTCCCAATAATTAAAATAGTTTCATTTTAGTGGAAGAAAAATAGATTACTTTTAACAATATTAATCTTTTCACTGATTTCGCACAAAGAGAATTCTTTTGCATAGACCATTTTATTAGTAGTATTTGAACTGATGGCAAAATTCTTTTTAAAGTAGGATTGTTAGCAGAAATGATGGAGAAGAATTTTGTAATTTCCAGGAACTCAAAATGACTGTTGATACTTTTAGAAGATTTGATAAGCTGGCTTGTTTTTTTTAATGAAATAATGCTAACTTAGTGTTTTCATTCTTTTACATAAGCAGATTTCTTTTAATTGCAAATAAAATATTTTTGGCATCAGTGTTAATTACCTTTCATGTAATTTTTGTGTTTTATCCATCTGAAATTAAAAAAGTGCTTAAATGGCTAAAATCTACATATCCTGATAGTCTAAGCAACTACTGTACAAATATTCAGCAACATTTCAGAAATGCTGATTTTCTACTTCTAAATCATCATTCTATAAGGTTTGATAATTGAACAAGAAAAATTTTTGTATAGAAAACTTTATTAATGGTTAATTTGAAAATCAAATCTACAATTTTTCACATTAGTACCCTTACAGTTCAATGCAGTTGAACCAGCATTTCTTTCAATATGCCGTCGTCATATTTTTTTAATGTCCTCAAGATCATGAAATTAATATTATATTACTACAGATTTCAACTTTGAGTAAGAAAAAATATCTCAGGGTATGAGATCCAAAATGTAGAGTAGAAGTGAAAATGTAGGAATCCCTTCCTGCAATCAATTATTACCATGAATACTGAATGAGCTGGGGTATTCAACCTCTCATTGTCAAATCTGGTCTTCCCACACTATTCACTATCTTAAACGCTCCAAGACTTCACAATAAAAGATTGTATTAACAAGCTGGTTTGATGGTATTAACTTTTTGCTTATCAAACCACGAATTTCAAAAATTTCTTCACTATCTTTGAAATGGTGAGCCTCTTCATATGCTGCTTGTGATAAGCAATGCTCACTTAACATATCATGCAATTTGTTAGATATTTTAGATGGTTTTCCACTTGATCTAATAGAAAATGTAATAATCATTCTCTGCTAGATTTTTATATCAGCCTTTTCCATTACAAGCATTCCAAAGATACCAGCTTAATGGATTTTTAACTTTGCATCCCTGAGACCTACAGTCAAGCAAAGTCGTTGGCACATATGTTTGCTTTACTTTGCTCATATGGATTCATGCTAATGTTGCCACTTCTAGAGTTATAAATAAATTCTTTTCATTTAATTGCCGTACCTCATCTCTTTTTTCAAATAGATTTTTAATTTGGTTGTTTCCATACATTCTCATTAATTTTGAAAATCCCTCTTGAACATAAAATTAATTCTTCAAAATAAAATTATCTTTGGGAAAATGAAAATATATATAGTAATTTATTTACATTTATTTATATTTTATATGCATAATTTAATAATCATTCTCTTTAATTAGTAATGAAGAAAACTTCTAAGTGATGGAGGAAAATTATTAAATTATTTACGTGTTATTCTTATTATTTGTTTCTTAACCCCTTTCTGATGGAACTAGCAAATCATCAAAAATTGTTTGTTTGCACAATCTATCTGGTCATTTGTCTAGCATTCGAACAATAAAGAAAACTGAAATGAAGGAAAAAAATGCTTATCTTCTTGTATCTGCAGGTGGTAGAGCTCAAATTATGTTGTGGAAGATTAGAAATGATGATAGTAAGTCTTAATATAAAAAATATAATTTACTTTTATATGCAGTATTTGATATTCATTATATATTCATAAAAAATGAATTTTAGATTTAAGCTGTAAAGAATTAGCTACATTCATTTTATCATTTGAGGAAAAAAAGGGAAAAAAGCGATGTAAAGAAAAGCAAGAAATTGAATTTGATCCTCAAACAAGACTTATGGATGTTTCATTGTGTTGTCCTCAATCCTCATATGAATTTGAAAAGTACTTAATAGCTGCAGCTTGCTCAGACAGTTATTTTAGGTTTGTTATTCATAATTCCATTTCAGTTCAGTTTTTGATGCACTTATATTAGTTGTTAGTGCTATAAATATTCAAAAAATTAACAATGTTTTATAACAGTGCCTCTATTAATGTGTATTGTATGTTGCTACATTAATAGTGTATTTTTGTTTTATTTATCTGTCCTATACATATGAATTTGAGGGATTCTGATGATTTTGTTTAATCTTCAAGAAACAGCAAAACAATAAAAATATTGTTAGTGTACTGTGTTCATTAATTTCCAAAATCAGGTTTAAATTCCAATGAATGGATTGTGCAATAGGTATGTTGATGCTTTTTCACCATTTGTAACACAAATATGAGTCAGCTTTACTTGGAAAAATCCTCCATAACAAAGCTAGTTAGGCATAAAAAGCTCTTTCTCTTAGGCAAGTTAGATGAACAAATGACAGTGATGAAATGTTTCATTAACTATATTGTATTAGTTGGCAGAGTAACTAATTTAACTTGACTAGATTTTTTTTGCTGTGCTGTTACGATATTCACCGTGACTTTTTTCACATGATTTTTTTAATAATTTTGATTTTTAAAAATCGAGTGTCTTTTTGTCATATTTGATTTTAGGATTAGTTAATGAGTAAACACATTTTATAAATTTATTTTTCTCTTGCCCGCCAAATATTAATAATCTTTAATATGCTTAGCTACAATTATTGTGTAAACTTTTCTGGAAGGATCAATTTATAAGATTTGTCTTGCATAAAGTCCTGATAAATATACTGTAACATTACATAAAATAGAAGGATTTGTTTATCAAAAAAGTTATCATCACTAACTTCTAAAACATTTACTATTTAAAGAAAATTTCCAGATGAAAGATTGTATGTAATATTAATCTCATAAATATTTCTTTTAAACTGTATAAGTTTTCTCCCTCTTTTTATGTTACTAATAAGCATCACTCCATTATTAAGTTTATGCATGTATCCAAGATAAGAAAAATTTATCTTAAAACAATGTTTTCCAATGTAGAATGTGATTGTTGAATTAATTTATTAATGATGAAATGTTATAATGTTTTTATTAATGATGAAATGTGTAGCATAATATATTAAGATTTCTAAAATTTAGAATCTAAATCAGAATTTTTACTTAAAAGTGTTTTGTAAGTCCGTGATAGTAACTTCTAAAGTTCCAAGGCATTGATTTATAAGTCTGACAGATCTGTAATTATTTAGCAAAATAAAACTGTAGTTGCCAACTTTTTCAGTTTTTCATCACATCTTACAGTCTCCAAATAAATATCGGTAACTTTCAAATTTAATTTTTAGCCTTGATTAAGGAAAACTTTTCTCAGCAATGAATGAACTAAATTTAAATTATTTAAAATCCATTCCCCTATCCCCTAGTGATATTTCACTGTAATTTTTCTTATTCAATTTTATTTTATCTGAAGTAATTTAATCTACTGTGGGTATTTGTAGAACTTTTAATGGAGATTCAGCCGGTGTTTAGTTAGTTAATATTAGTATTTAATTTTGTTTTATATCAAATATATGATATATTGAGAAGTTTATCCTATCCACATGATAGTACATGCATTAATTATTAATTTGTCATTGTATTTAAAATTACTTTGATAAATAAAAGCTCTTCTTTACTTCCAGTGGATGAGGAGTAAATTTGCTGAATACTGGTAGTTCAGTCTGGTGTACAAATTCCGGGAAACAGACTGGCTGCATGGGCGTTTTCATGATTTTCTCCATGTATAATGTGTAAAGTCCTCTATGAAGGCACTCTTTCCCTTAGGCAGATAGCCCCTGAGTACTTTTCCATAATCAAAAAACCAAACCAAATTAAAACCTCCATACTCAGGCTTTTCTCATTGTGAAAATGTTGGAAAATGACTAAATTAAATTTATTTAAGAATATAAATTTTAGAATATCTTTTTAAATATTGAGGAATGTTACATTAAGTTTCGTATTATAAATAGTTCAGTAACCTAAATCATGCATTATAAAGTGAATTTAAGTCCATTTAGAGTTCATTTGAAATAGCATTGCAGCACAGTGTGAAAACGGGAAGAGAATCTCCCAGTTTTTCATATTTTGAAGCTGGCAGCTTTGCAATACATTTTCCCTGCTTGTTGAAGTTAAATGAGATTGTGTAACTTAGCATAATTATGTTGTTATTTTCTTTTATAGGGTTTATACATTTGATGTCCATATCAAAGAGTTGTCAATTTGTTACAGTGTACAGCTTGGAGAGCATTGTATTTTTACATTATCAGAAATCAGAATTACTGAAGCATCTAATGATAATCTTTTGTTTGTCACCGGAGCAGCTGATGGAAAAGTTAAAATCATGAATCACCAAAATTATATCCATTTATATGATAATCAAAATCAGATACAAAATTTAGTGTCAAAGTCTGATGAAGTTTTTCATCTAACCTTGCATCAGTCTGGTATCAATGCTATAGATCTAAAGCAGATAACAGGTATTATAATTTTGTTTTTGGCATTAATATTAAGATTATAAATTTAAATTTAAAGTTAAGATTCTCTGTTAGATTAGAAAATATTTCATTTCTCAGAATGCTAAAGAAATAAGAGGTTTTTTTTAACAGACGAAAAATTTTTCATCAGTAAATTTATTAGTAGCTATTTACTGAATAATAATAACCATAAAAAAAGCACTGTTTAAATTGAATACTAAATAAATAAATACTAAAAAAAGCACTATTGGTTGGAAAAATTTTGTTATTTCAAAAGGTATATATAATTTGTGCATTATTTCAAAAGGTATATATAATTTGATGTAAACTGATCATTTGACATAATTTAACACAAATTAGTTGATTTTCTGGTGAAAAATAAACATTTTTGGACTTCCATCAGGAGTTAAATGAGAGATAATTATGGTACATGCTAGTTATGTTTATTCTGATGCATTTTGTAAATAAACTGTTTATGAGATTAAATTAAGATTTAAAATTTATGTCAAAGAGATTATTGAAAGATTACCCTGCCCAGTACCATCCAAAAAATACTGTTTGAAAATTTTCTTAAGTATTTAAAAAAATTAAGATATTAAAATTTTAAAGATTATGCATTAGAAATAACAAAAACGATTTTTTAGCAATTACATAACATATAGCTTCAAGATCATTTATTAAGCACAAAAAAGCTGAAAATGTTCATAAAATTATCAGATAGATATATTATAAATTAAATGCATTGTAATTTATATCAGTCACGTATTTTATTACGAAAAGTAAAATAAAGATTTAAATTATTAAGAAGTATATTTACTGTTATTAAATTGTTCAATTTATTGATAAATAAGAGCTTCTTTAATATGTTAACATTGAAAGAGGAAATATGAAAGAATAATTTTTGAATTTGAAAAACAAATTAGAGATTTTTGTGCACTTTCCTGAATGGCAGCATTATTTTAGCATATGCTGGGCCACTTTCAGCACTTTCATCACCCTAATCGTTATAGTTGGCACCCCATATAATTTAAACATGTTAATTATTTAAAACAAAATAAAACTTTATTTAATTGCAATTTGTAATAACAATTTAGTTGTTCAGCCCCGAAATTTGGCTCCTAGACAGCTGTTTTTGTCACCTATACCCTGGATCAACTCTGGGTGTATGATAGGGTGTGAGATAGATAAACTATAGATCAGGGATGGCCAAACTTTTGGGATCCGTGGTCTACTCCACATTTAAAAAATCAAAGGCGATCTACCAATAGCAGAGCTAAATTAACGTAACGTGCATGTTTATATATTTGTTTTCAGTAACAAGAAAAAATGGTAAATTATCTAATTTTTGTAAAAAAACTTATTATTAATATTTACAAAATAAAAATTTACTGACAAAAATAATCAAAGTATTCATATATAAAAAATTGACCACCCTATTCACTTCGTTTAGTTGAAATTTGGCACTGCATATCTGCGACAAGTTTATCATATTGTGGCTGGTACGAGCTTATTGCAATGCGTAAACACGAAATTAAATGTTCATCTGTTAAACGCGACCGATGTTTGGTTTTTATGGTGTTCATGGTTGAAAAAGCAGATTCGCAAAGATACGTTGATTCAAAGTATGATTTCAAATACAAAATCAATTTGTAAATATTTGGAAATGTTTCCTCAGAAATTAATTTTCAAAAATCAGTATAGCTAGATGCTCTGGATTTAAGAAATATATCGCATCTTAATTTAATAATTTCTTCCTCAACCGTGACTGATGTGTTATCTATTAAATGTCTTATTTTTTCAGATACTCCATCAATGTTGACATTTTCATTAAATGGAAATATCATAAAATTGAGTATTTCTTCCAACCTAATTAAGTCAGCAAATCTTCTTTCAAATTCTTCAAACAAAAAATCTAAGTGTTCGGTGAAATCTTCGAAGTCTTGGTTTGAATTATGGATGCACTCTTCCTCCATGTTCTTGAAGTTTCTCAATTCATGTTTTCTTAATTGAGACGCATACCTTTTTATCGTTTCTTTAAAAGTTTTAATCGCGTTCATCATGTCTGTTAAACATTTATTCTTTCCTTGTAGATTTAGGTTTAAGTCGTTAAGTTTTGAAGTGATATCGCAGAGAAAAGCTAGTTTCATAAGCCATTTCTCATCTTCCAATTCAGTAATGTGCTCTCCTTTCATTTGTAGAAAATTTTTCATTTCTGGTAACAGAATACAAAATCTTTATAAAAAAGCACCACGGCTTAGCCACCTCATGTCTGAGTGCAATAAGAGATCTCCATACTCTGATTCAGCTTCTTCCAGAAGCACCCGAAATTGTCGTCTCTGAAAACTTCTTGAACGAATTGAATTGACGATTTTAAAAGCAATTTGCATTATATCATTAGACTTTAGTATTTTTGAACACAATACCTGTTGATGGATAATGCAGTGATAGCTGGTAAAACTGGGAATTTCCTCATTATTATTGCACAAGGCAATAAAACCACTGTTTTCTTAAATCAGTATTGTTTAAACCACTGTTTTCTTAAATCCAGAGCATCTAGCAATTCGATTCCCTGAACCATTGCTGGAAGCTCCATCTGTTGTAATAGAAACCAATTTATATATTGGAAATCCTGTCTTATCAATAAAGTTTTTAAATAAATTGTAGATATCTTGGCCTCTCGTTTGTCCTTTCAATAGAATTATAGTTAATAACTCTTCTTTTGAAGTCATATCTTCAAAAACCATTCTCACAAAAATGCATAACTGTGCAATGTCACTAATATCCATGGATTCATCAAAATTGAAGTGATAGGAACTTACAAGCTTTTAAATCGTCATTTAATAAATCCTCCAAATTATTATTCATAGCTTCAGTCCGTTGCAGCACAGTGTTATGCAACAAAGAACTATTATTTATTGACGATATTATTTCAGATTTGTTTTTAAAATCGTGGAAAAGCACTTCTCTCGCTTTGCAGAAAGCTTCTTTTATCAGTTCTCCATCTTTGAATGAGCGCTTTATCAAAACTTCTGTAATTTTAAACGACGCCAATGTTACTGCTTTAGCTTTGGTGCCCTGGTCCCATTTCACTGGTCTCGTAAATAACGATTGTTGTAAATGTAAATTAGACTTTAATTCCTGCACTTTAACTTTTCGAAGTTTACTGCTGATTGGAAAGTCTGTAGTGTATTCTAAGTGCATGGTTTTAAAATGTCTTTCGACGTTTGCTTTTTTTGGTAGTGCCACACTTGAGTTACATATAAGACAAACACATTTCTCCTTCACCATAACAAAAAAAGAAATCATCTTCCCACTCATTGTGATAATGGTATATTTTACTTCTCTTAGCACTGGTACCTGGCTGAATCATTTTGGATGGGTTGTTGAAACAACAAATTATCGTATCAGTGCGATAAGAAGCAAGCGGCTACAACGTAAGATGACTAACTGAGAACTCAAACTAAACGGGCGGGTGTGACGGGTAGACTAGTCAAATCGCCGCGTCGCTATCATCGCGCCACCTACTGGATATAATCTAAGCATCCTATTCTGTCAAGTTGTTTCTATTTAATTCTCCACTGTAAAATGACAAATTCATTGTATTACTTTGCACAGTTTGTTTTAGGTTTTTAAAGCGTAAACTGTAGTAAATTTTTATTTTAATAATTCATTAATTCTATGTCATAAGTCAGAAATTAAATTGCTAATAACTGAGATCATTATTGAGATGGTTACGCGGACTACCTAAAATGTCTTCGCGGTCTTGGCCACCCCTGCTATAGATCTTATGAGCTATAGAACTTGCAACACTTGCCAAAAGCCATCTCTATGTTCTTTCTGTTCTTGCTCATAAATTTTGACGCGTTATTGTGTCTGGAGATTTTTTTTTGCAAGGCTGGATTTTACATAATGGCTAAAAACAATATACTTATTTCTAGATGGAGTAAAAATCTGAAATTATCTCCATATTGCTTTAAGGTGGGGGGAAAGAATTGCTCACATGATTGTAAATGTAATCCACTTTATAAAAAAGTGTGTAAGAAAATATGCTATTACTTTAAGAGATTTTATTGTGTTTAATACACAAAGAAATGCAAAAGTTTGTGTCCTATCAATATAAAAAATACTCCTGTACTTTTGCCACGATGTCTCTAAACAGATACTTTTTTTAGTTGACTGAACTAAAAAAGTGTGCAAAACTGGTACCAAAATAATAATTGCCATTTCATGTGCCATAATCTTTGATTTTAGTATTTTCGTCCACATAGCCTATGTATATATGAATAAATATTTCTTATTATTTCAAAAATGTGCTGTTGGGGAATTTTTGATTGCATGTTTTTTATTATGGAAGTTAAAAACTTGCATTAATATTCAAGTTCAAAGTGAAGTCTGATAAATTGAATGAGTTTTATGTCCCAATTTTTGAAACTTTTTAAAATTTTAGCAAGAGAATTTAAATGGATGATTATATATGCTTGAAAAATTTTACGATAAAATGCTTTTTCATTGTTTTAATATTAAAGAGTTAGATTAAGGATAAAGCATTTCTATAATGATAACTTTAAATTAGGCATTCAAATATGTTAACTCTTAGCAAATGATGTATTTATTAATATACGAAGTGTGACAATTAAATAATCAGACTGCTCATGCCCTAGCCATTAGAATTGGTGTGGATGAGTGGAAATGGAATGTAGTTGACCTTGATGCTTCTGATGCAGGTGGCACATTATTCCATTCCTCTATCTAGTTCAGTTGGTTTTTCATCCTTGTTTGAGTAAGATACAACATCTCAATGTTGTACGAGGGCCATCCAGGAAGTAGATTACGTTTCCGTCTGTGTCCACTAGGGGCGGGGCTAGCGCGGCCATCTTGGGGTCAGAGCATTGCACAGCTCAGTCTGCATCTAGCCGTGCTAGTGAGAGGTTCGTGCTGTGCTCCGTTCAGATACTGTGACGGTTTGAAATGTCTGCGTTAATTGAAAATCCCGCGAGCTGCGAGGTGCGCTCAGTAATAAGGTTTCTGACTGCAAAAAACTGTAAACCGATAGAAATCTATTGGCAGCTTCGTGAAGTGTATGGGGACAACATTATCACTGAAGGTGGAGTGCGTCAGTGGGTCATAAGATTTCAAAATGGCCGAACCAATGTTCACGACGAAGATCGAAGTGGGAGACCCAGCATAGAGTGACCGCCGAACTTCTCGAAAAAAAAAGTCGATGCTAAAGTCCGTGAAAATCGAAATTTCACAATAAACGGAACTTTCTTTGAGTTTTCCCACAAATTTCGCGAAGTTTGTTGCACGAAATCATCAGCGAAAAGCTTGGTTACCACAAGTTTTGTGCAAGATGGATTCCAAAAATCTTGACAGAGGACCACAAAATCAGCGAATGGCTGCAGCGTTGAACTTTTTGGACGCTTACCATAAGGATGGTGACTCTTTACTCGATCGCATCGTTACTGGTGACGAAACATGGGTGAAACATGTGAAATGTTGAAACGAAATTGCAATCAATGCAGTGGGGGCACACAAGTTCTCCCCAAAAACCCAAGAAATGCATGCAAACAATGTCGGCAGGAAGATGATGGCGACTGTTTTTTGGGACAGAAAAGGTGTAATTTTGGTGGACTTCCTGGAAAGAGGCACTACAATAAACTCTCAAAGGTATTGTCAAACTCTCCAAAAACTCAGAAGAGCAATTCAAAAACAAGCGCAGAGGAATGTTGAGCTCTAAGATCTTGTTGATTCACGACAACGCCCGGCCCCACACGGCAAATGTCACTCGTAAAGTTCTTGAATCTTTTAAGTGGAGTTGTTTCCTCATCCGCCGTACAGTCCCGACCTGGCACCGAGCGACTTCCACCTATTCCCAGCAATGAAGAAGTGCTGGCTATGCAGCATTTTGATGACGACACACAGCTGCAAGAAGAGGTAACGAAGTGGTTGAACGAAGGCGCAGGCGGCCGAATTTTTTCGACGAAAGGAATTTCCAAGCTCGTACATCGCTACGATAAATGCCTTAATTTGTATGGTGACTATGTAGAAAAAGTAGTATTTGAGTGTGGCTTTCATCTGTATATAATAAAATTTGTTTCCTATACTTTGTTTATTTTTTTATTCCAAAACGTAATCTACTTTCTGGATAGCCCTCGTATAAATCTGAAATTCCTCTTGAAATTAAAAACTCTAACTGAATGTTTAAAATTGTTCAAGGAAGTGCTTGGAGATAATTACATGTACATAGTCAATTTTTAGAATGGCACAAACGATTTTTGGAATGTCGGGAGGTTGTTAAAGATGATGAATGTTCTGATCAACCTGTGACATCAAGAACTGATGAAAACATTAAGAAAATTATTGAAATCATGCTTAAAGACCGACGTTTGAGTGTTCAGATGATCTCAGATATTATGAACATTGAAAGGGATACAATAAGAAACATTTTCACCCAGAATTTGCATATGACGAAAGTTTGTGCAAAACTGGACCCCCCCCCGAGCAAAAAAGGAACTGGAAAAACATTTGCCCTGACAATCATGAAACGCTTCAAAGAAGATCCTGAACTGATTGAAGTCAATCTCATGTGACAAAACGTGAATTTTTCAGTATGACCCTAAAACTAAATGACAATCCATATACTGACAGACCTCCTACATTGCCAAAGGCCAAAAAAGCTGGAATGAGCAGGTCCAAACGGAAGGTCATGCTCATCTTTTTTTTCAATATTAATTGTATCATCATGATTGAATGGGCCCCCCAAGGCCAAACAGGAAACCAGCAGTACTACATTGAGATCCTGAGAAAGCTTAGAGAAAGAGTGAGGAAGAAAAGGCCATATCTGTGGAGCAACAACACACATTTTGTACCAAGACAACGGCCCACCCCACAACGCACTTTCTGTGAAACATTTCTTAGCAGACTGTGCTCAAACATCCACCGTACTCACCAGATCTCATACCATGCGACTTCTGTGTGTTTCCAAAAGTGAAAAGTGCATTGAAGGAAACACATTTTCAGTCTGTAGAAGAGGTGAAGGCAAAAATGGCAAACTTACTGAAGAAGGTGACACCTAATGACCTGTAGCATTGCTTTGAATGGTCGAAAACTCGTACGTAGCGATGTTGATAGGAAAAGGGAGTGTGTTGAACGGGACTAAAAGGTATTTGTATAATTTTTTCAAAAAAGCTAATTTTTAAGACTAGTCCAGCTATTTAATTGTCACACCTCATATATTTAAAAAGGTGTTTTAGCATCTTTCAAAATGTTATAAAATTTGTTTTTAAATTTAGAAAATACTTGGTTTATATGTTGTGGAGGGGATGATAATGCTCTGTCTGCTGTTTTGATACAATTTAATGAGATTTCTGGTGATGATCCCTCAATTCAAGTTATTGCTGAAACTCGTGTTTGCAATGCTCATTCTTCACAAATAACTGGTAAGATAAACTCTTTTGAAAAAATAAAGTATGTGTATTATTCAATGCACACTTTTTCAAATATTCAGGTATCATTTGTACATTTGTTTCTTATGTGTTAAATGTATTTTTTGCACTTGTGTGTGAGTGTCTATATATATATTTATGGTAAAAAAAATATGTTAATCAAAATTCTAATTTAAATTTGCAGTAGTCCCTCAACTCTCTATTTTAATTTGGTTATTTTCTCTTTCTATTCTAAAAATAATAATTGCTGATAATAAATCTCTTTAAGCTGCATCATTTCAAAATTAATCACTCTCAGATGATTCTTGTATAACATTGATGGCACAGGCATTTGCAGTTTGCAAATTGAATCTCAATCAAGCAATCAAAATAAAGTGAAAAATCAGTCTTTATGCCACATTCTCTGTCTCGCTTCCATCCTACCATCCAGCTGGTTTACTTTCCTTTGCTGTACTTTCTTTATTAAAATTGTTGCACAAATGTGATTAAAAATGGGGGCACAGATTGTGCCCATTGCTGTATGTAATTCAAGTTAAGACTCTGCTTTTCATGCATTAAAAAATTTTAATTTGGAACAACTGCAAACATCTTGAATGTGAGTACTTGCTTATACATTGGTTATCATCATTAGCACCTGCATCATCAACATTTATCTTCAACATCTGAATTATTTCCATGAACTGAAATTGTGCATTGCCAGTAAATTTTATTTTCGTGTGCATCCGTAATGAAACATCATTCATGTTCAAATACTTTCTGATATCCAGTATGTAAAAGAAGGGAAAACAATTGCTGAATCTGAGATTTAATAAGTGCTTAAAAACAACTTAACAGTTCAAAATTTGGTCAGAGTATTTCTAATAATATACAAAGTTACTTAACAAGAGTTTAGAAAAACCAGCCTTCCCCGTACTCCAAATCACAATGGTCTTAGTATTTACATATTCTTTCATTTATTCCATACTAGCAGCTTCGCTGCCAGCCTTCGTCTGGCTTTTAAATGTACCGGGAAAATGGCTGAAGGGCTGATTTAACACCAAATGTTAAATTTAAAAATTGCGTAGAATTTTACTCTGCAGAACAACTTCATAAAAAATTATTATGTATAACAAAATTATAATGAAATAAGCAATATCCCTTAATACAAATATTAATTATCCTAATAAATAAATTAACCAACTTCCCTTTGCAAAATCTTAAGAATTCAAATGGTATAAAGGAGGTTAAGAACTTTGCTTCCTAAAAAAATCACTCAAAACTTTTCAATATCTTAAAAACAGTGAAATGAGCAATAAATAACATAAAATAATACAAAAAACAAAAAATTCTGAAAAGCAAAGTATAATTAATGATATTTTATCTTATATTTTCAACAGAAAAATATACAATGAAATAAGCAATATCTCTTAATACAAATATTAATTACCCTAATAAAAAATTAACCAGCTTTCCATTAAAGAAAAAAAAAATCATGCAAACTTTTCAATATCTTAAAAACAGTGCAATGAGCAGTAAATAACATAAAAGAATACAAAAAACAAAAAATTCTGAAAAGTAAAGTATAATTAAGATATTTTATCTTATATTTTCAAGAGAAAAAAAAAATTACAATGAAATAAGCTATATCCTTTAATACAAATATTAATTATCCTAATAAAAAAATTAACCAACTATCCGTTGAAGAAGAAAAAAAAAAAAAATCATGCAAAACATTTCAATATCTTACAAACAGTGAAATAAACAAAAATAACATGAAAGGAACTCAAAAAACAGAAGTCAACTTTATCAAAAAAATTCAATAAAAATGTATTATATATATATATATATAAATGACAATGAAATATGCGAATCTCTTAAAAACAGTGACATAAGAATACGATGAAAAAATTGTTGCCAAACCCATATTTCTAAAAGAATGAAACTATTCAAAATGATGCGATTTCATCAAAAATCTATCAACAACAATAAGACAGGAAAATTGTTGCCAAAATCATATTTTTAAAGATGTGAAATGTGAGAAGTGTACTCGGAAGCTTCATTTAAAAAAATTTTTAAAAATACAAAATATTATAATTTTTCCAAAATTCTTTTTCTAAAAGCAGTCGCAAGGATGAAAGTTTAATGTGTCCAAAAATCAAAGAAAAATAAACTGTACATTTTAAAAAATAAACCTTTTTAGAAAAAAGCCCATTAAAAAGGTGTTAAGCTCCCTTTGTTAAATAAATTCGTATTTAATCGATTTATTGAAACACGAAATTTATTTTAAGTTCGTAAAATAGCTAAGTGCTTATGTTTCATGAAGATGTGAAAATGGAGTGTGTAGAGTAAAATCTCGATTTCCTGTAGCCCATTATGTCACAAAATGACGCGATTTCGTAACAAAACATAAAATTAAAAAAATTCTAATTCGAATTTTGAAAAAATCACTTCGAGGTGCACTGGCTCTTGTCTAGGTGCACCTATGTACCAAATTTTGTAGCCGTGAGTCTATTAGCTTACGCTTGGCGCGAACGAAAGACACACACACACACACACAGACAGACTCTTTCTTTTATTACATGTAGAGATGCATGAGACTTCAACATAATGTGGGTTCTTGGCATATTAAAATGTGCTTGATGTGAACAATTCTGTAAATTATGCATACATAGCACTTTATTAACAATATGAACAAATAAACAGATATAATTCACATAAAGCTATAATATAATGTTTCTTCTAGCTTGCAGCATAACATACTTCATTGCATCCCCTTCCTGTGATGTCTGGGTTCCAATTTGGAATCATGCGACAGAGACAAATGCGTGTGCCAGTAAGTTTAAATGCACATGCGCGGTGTTCACGGGATCATGACATCTCATCCTTAAAAGATTTGATAGTATCTTTCAAAGACCTCTCAAATACTTACAAAGAGATCTCCTAAAACAAAAAATAATAACAATATTCATGAAAGTTTTTAGTTTAATTAACCAATTCTTTCTATTTCAATTAAAATTATCTCAACATAAATTCAGTAATATTAATCATTAAATCATGAATCGTTTAGAGATGTAACATTCTAACTTTTCCTTAAACCTAAATCTTTAAAATTTATGCTAAGCACGTAAACAAAATAATGCAGTAAATTATTAATATTAAACTAATTGTCCTTTACCAAACTGTGGTTCTGTGTTTAAATATTAATTATTTCACATAACATTAGAAAAATTTCAAAGTTTGAAATTTTAGGTTTTTAAGAAAATATTCAAATCAAAATCAAAATGTTGATAATGTTTCAAAAGTGATTTTCAATCACATATCAATCACTGGAAAATATAATCACGCCATTAAGTTACATCATTAATATAAAATTCAATATAGTCTTTATGTTTGCTGAGATGTTTGTTTATAGTTCTCTGGAAAGTTGCAGTGGCATTTTTTAATCCAAAGCATATTTTCCTTGGTATGTCACAAATAAAGAAAAGTATTAGCACTCAAGGTTTAGTCACATTTGGCAGGATCCTCTAAGAAGATCAAAGTGATGCAATTTGACTTTAACCTTTGGTAAATTAAGTTTGTGGTATTTTTCATTGGAAAGAAAGTAATTTTAGTTTGTGAGTTCAGAAAACGATAGTCCACATAATCTTACAATTCCAACTTTCTTCGATTCACTTCTGTTGGATGCAAATGTTCACTTTCATATCAAACAATCAATCTCAGTTGCACTAGCTCATCTATTTGTTGATCAGCTTCATTTTTTAGAATTTCAGGTATCCAGTAAAACCCATATCACACATGCATTTGTTTCATATGAACAACTGTTTCAGACAATTTTTCTGCCTGGCTTACTATTGAAAGAAAGCCCTGTGATTTTTTTCTTTCTTTTCGAAAAAATTGCAAGTTGTTTGTATTTAACCAATCAGCCATCGGCTTGTGTGTAATGGAGAACCAGTTTCCTCTTTACGCAGAGTCGTAGCTAGGGTTTTCAGCTCCCAGGGACAACTGAAGATTTCGTGCCCCATACTGCTTGCCAAGGATGGAAAACATTTAATTCTAAAATGTCATAACATCAGTTTGCCACCCCTTGGACTCTGCGCCCGGGGACAGATGCCCCCTTGCCCCCTCTAGCTACACCCCTGCCTTTACGTGTTAACTCCAAAGTGATCTGTGGTGATTGCTGTTGTGACAAAGCAGAAAAATAGTTCCAAACAATTGTTCTTCCAAAACAAACAGATGTGGCATAGCAGCCTAAGGCTTCTACCTCTTTGTTACACTTTTAGGCTTAAGTTTGATGGTAGGTTCTCTTATATCAGTGATTTTTGGGATAACAAACCTGAGATTTGCATACTTTCTTAAATTTCCCATGAGTTCTTTTCTTGTGTGGTTCAAGGTGTGTAAGATCCACCTGTTCATCAGAACAGCGTTCATCTACTTTCTATGGAACAATTTTTGGAGTATTTTCAATTTCTCCAAAATCAGTGTTTGTATCGTATATCACACCAACATTATTTATTGCAGTCTTGAACTCTTGTATCTTGTTTGTGTGAACATCAGACACTTGCATTAAGAAACTACACTCAGTATGCTTTCTGATGATTGTAGCATGTGTTATCCATCTTGCATAAACTTTGTTTTCTAAACCAGGCATTAAGTACTTTATCACCTTCCTTAAATTCTTTATAAACAAGTCTTCCAGTTATGGTAGAATGCATAAGCTTGTTGCTTGCCAATAGCTGTAAATCCTACATATTTAGCAGCTTTTGTCTAACTTCATATTCAAATCATTCAGGCTTTCCATTATTCAGCTTAGATGCCCATAAGGATTAGGGGTTTCATCAGTCCATGACATTTTCAAGATGGAAAATGGACCATTAGGATGTCTTCCATAAAGCATCTGGAGTAGGCTAACACCAATCATTATAGACTTCTGACAGGCCTAGAGTAGGTATGGTAGGTATTTCATCCAATCTTGTGTCTTTCTGTGAAAAATTCCCTGATGGTGTGATGTATCATTTTCATCAAAACAGCACTAAGTCTTTCTACAAGGCTGTTTGAACTTGGATGGTAACTGCTTCTGGCCATCTTCTTTCATAGTTTGGTTCCATGGGTTTGAAGATATCCACATTAATTATCTGGAATGGTTCATTAGGACGTGTCACTGGCATAATAGGAATTTCATCAAAAGGATGCTTTTTAGCTTGAAGTTGAGAGTTTCAAGTTTTGGAGTATTCAATTATGTTTATGGATTCCAGGCCTGTAGAAGGAATATCTCAATCATTCAGCAGTTTTCTTACAGGTAAACCTCTCCAGAACCTAGAATGATCTAAATCCAAAATTTGTTTTCTTCTCTTCTTGGGAACAAGTAAATGATGAACTTTTTCTCCTAAAATCTTTATAGAATAAAAAGTTATTAATAACAATTAAATTATTGCAATTCTTAGCATAGTGACAGCATGTTTGTAAAGATGGATAATTTATTTCTTGAATCTGAAACAGAGCCATTTTGTCTCGTACTATCTTTAGAATCATCTTTACCTGTCTTTTTATGTAACAATGCACAACATTCTACTATTTTCTTAATAATTTCCTCACATTTTTCATTAACGAGGTTTGCTTTTTCATTGTCAGATATTTTGTCAAAATCTTCAATTTCATAAGTATTTAAACGAAACTATCATTAATAATGTTTACATTTTTGCTTTCAAAATTAAACTTTTGCTTATCATTTCAATTTAATTCATTAAAAGCATTTAACAACAAACCATTGCTCATGTTATGAAAATATCATCTTCAGAATGCTTCGATAAAAGTAAGTTAATGAGGGGAGCCTGTAAAGTTTGTATGTATGATGATGTGAGAATAATGCTTCCATGTGGCATAGTATATCTTTCTAGTACTATATCAGTATTAACAACAGCTAACTGCATTCCTGTACCTGCTACTGCATTAATTAATTTACCATTACACATAAGTTAAAAAATAGCTAAGTCATCAATTCATTCAGTCTCAATGTCCTGGTTTACATTAAAATAGTTAATTTAGTTTATATTACAGTTAGTTTGCATTAAAATAATTAATTAATTACTTGAAATTATTGTCATTATGGCATCAGAATTATTCTTAATTTCTTCCAATTTAAACTTTTTCTTATCTTCGTGTAACAATATGTTATGATACTTAGAATTATATATAGACCATTTCAGTTGAGAAGGGCAATTTCTTTCTGTGCAGTAATTTTCAAAACAAGGAAAGCACTGATGAGAATCTTTTAAACTCTTTTTCTTCTCTTTCAGTGACATAACACATTTTTCTGAAGTATGATCTTTGCTTCCACAAAGTACACAAGAAAAAAGTTGAGCAGCTGAAATTTTATTTACATTATTGTAATGACTGACGATAGCAGTCATAATGGTCTTAAAAGGATCATGAGTATGGAAATTGTTTCATTTTTCATTAGGGGAATTAAAACTCTGATCAAGCAAACCTGCATTACTCTTAGATAAAATAAATTTAACATAGTTCTTTTGCAACTTTCTTTTTCCTATTTGAGAAATTTCATGAGGTCATCGATATCAAAATTTTCATCATTTGCTTTCTAATGCATAAATTCAGTTGCTATATTCCTAGTGCATAAAATCAAGTGTTCTGTCCTAATTGTTCTTCTATATATTTAATATTACAAGAAGCAACTAAAGATTCAGTAGAACCTGTTAATTTAGTTACAATTGAATGAATAACTTTCCCTTCTTTCTTAGGTTTCACAAATTCTACTTCAACCATTTTATTTACAAAGGATAAATTTCCATATGATTCAGTTTTGATTCCTAATGAATTTAGTAATCTTCTTTGTACGTTACAGGTATCATGGAATTCTCTCAAAAAATGAATATTATTTGAACTTCAGAGAGGTTTGAAATTTAATGGTTTATGCACGCGCAATTAATGAGGAGGTCTTTCCGATCAAATCTTTTAAGTAGTTTAAGTGCTTCATCATAATGCTTGGGGGATAGTGAAAACCCTTTAACAGTTTTTAAAGCTGCACCACATAATAAACTAAGCAAATAATTGAATTTATCAACTTTAGATAATTTTTCATTTTGATTTATTGCCATATCAGAAGTATTATAAAATGTTTTCCTCACTTCAGCATTTCCATAAAATTCATCAATCTTAATTTTTGGCAATTTAACTTTGTAATCAGAGCTCCTATTAATAGCACCAGAAATAATAGATCATGAAATCATATTGTCATGAAAAGAACCATTAGAAACTAAAGAATTGTTAACATTTTGTTTTTCTTTGAATGATTTTGGCCCTCTGAAACTCCATTTTGCAATCTTTTCTTCAAATTTTAAGGTACTCTCAATCTAGATTCATATCAGTTGAATCTTCAATCTTTTCATTGGCTGCTTTAAAGGAACAGCTTTTGCTTTAAGATTTCTAATTGTTCTTTTATGCCTTCAATATTACAAGAAACAATTAAAGATTCAGTAGAACCTGTTACTTTAGCTATGGCAGAACAAAAAACTTTCCATTCTTTTGTAAGTTTTGCAAGTTCTGCTTCAACCATTTCTATGATTAAACTTTAATTTCAATAAATAAATAACAATAAATGAGTAAATAAAAATGAATTCTTCCTTAAGTTTTGCAATTTCTACTTCAAACATTTCTGCTATGATTGAACTTCAGCTTCAAAAATAAATAAATAAAAATAAATTTAAAAAAATTAATAAAAATTATAATAAATAATAATAAATAAATAAATAATTCTTTCATTTTCTGATAAATCACTTACACTTTACTGGAACATTCATAATCCAGTTTGAATATACGCAGCCCAGTATTATGCCACTTCTTGCATCACTATGCGTCTTCATCATGATGTAGTCTTTTGGCATATTAACATGTACATGATTTATGGCAATTCCATAGATCATACATAAGTTGTACAAAACAGCACTTTTTGTAAAATGCAAACAAATAAACAGATGTAATTCACACAAAGCTATAATGTAATGTTTCTTTTGGTTTGAGGTGTATCATATATAAGCCTTCTTCGTGGCATCCGCTTCTTGTGATGTCTGTGTTCCAACTGTGTGTCATTTGGTAGAGAGGTGAATGCATACACCAGTTAAGCTAAAGTGTGCATGCATGGCTTTTATGGAATCATGACAATACGTGTATCTGCCTGGCCAAATGTTCATCTACTTCCAATTTCTAAATTTTGATTTAAGTTTCAAGCGATAGCATCAAAGGAATAAACTACACTACTTTTTAAGAATATATAATTGATAAAAGTTTTATATGATGCTTTTATTTTAAACGAAAAATATATATTTTGATTTTATTATTTTGGAAGAGCATATTAACTATTGTTGAGAAAATTAAAAATATATTTACTTTAAATAGTAATTATAAATGTACAGAATCGTTAAAAACTATTTTTAACAGAGCATGCTGAAAAATTTTTATAACTATAAAGTAAATAAATTATTCATTAATTAGTGCAGCTATAAAGATGTTTTATATAATCATCCGTTACAAAATTGATAATAATTATTGCTGTTTTGAACTTTAAATAGTAAACTGAAAAAGTAAAACATAAAAAAGGCATAGCACTACCTTCTAGTCATAGATTTTAGTCAAGTCTTTATTAGTTTCAAGGACAAACAGATACAGGTCATTCTTCATCAAGAGTAAAGGAATCTGCAATGAAAAGAAAAGTCACAATTATATTTTTACCTGAAAAAAATGAGGAGTGAATGAGGTGATACTTGCATCTGTTAAGAGAAATAAAAATTGAAAATTTAAGATAAGAGAATTTTAAAAGCATTAGGATGTCCTGGATTTGAATTAGTCATTAACAAAACTAGATAAACCTTTCAGTGAGAAAAAAATCAAAAAACTCCTTTTATTGGTGCACTGGCTATTCTTGAAGCTTTGTATGCACAAAGATTAATTTATGTATGAATTTATATAATCAAAATTTTAAAAATTTGTTTTTTAATTCTTTATCTCAGAATTAATTTAAATTGTGAGCTTTGATTTATGATGTTGTCATGTAATTATATGTGTAGAATTATTGGTTATTTCATTTAACAGAAGTATGATTTCTGATAAATTACTGCAAATATTATTTGAAATAGTTCTACTAATGTGTGTTTTCTGTGTTCACAGGTATTAAAATTATTGGTAACAGAGCAGTTGCATCAGTTTCCATAGATCAAAGATTAAATTTATGGTCTTGGAATTTTTCAAATAACTCTTTGAGTATTACACAAGAACTTTCAAAATTGTCTTTGATACCTGATATTGCACATTTGGAATGTTGGCAAATTGGGTAAGTGTTAATTATTGCATCTAGCAGTAAATTTAATAGAAAAATGACTACAGATGTGTATGCAGTATATAATGAAATTCCTTTGTGATCCGATTAAGAATTTTCGATAGAATCATAGGAATAAATATATGATAATGTGTGCTTTAGGAGTACGGAATTTAGAAATATAAATATGCAATTTTGTATGTAATTTTGGAATGCTTGGAATGCAGAATTATAAATGTGTAAGTTCGATTTCAAAATTTTTGATTGATTAAGATAGATTTAATTTTAATACCACATTATTAATATAATATATAAAAATTAAAATTTTGAGGCTGATATAATGTTTTGTTGCTTAAGGATAATCAACATTTCTCTACATCATCTTCAGGTTAACAGGTAAACTGTTAGTGTATATTAACATATGCATATAATTAAAGATGTTGAAACTTTGCTTTAAAATTCTGTTTTCATGTAAATGATTTACCATGTGCCAAAAAGCAGGATAGGTAAATCCCAAATTTTCAAAGAAAAGAATGCTATGCTTAACATTTGAAATTGTAATTAGTTTAAATTTATTTAACTATTTATCTACATCTGGGGACCGAATTATTTATCTATTCACTTCCCTCATAAAATTTGTTTTCTTCAAATTTGTTGGTTTGTGTATTTAGTTTTTGTATTTTAACACAGTGAATTTGAAAATTTGGGATTTATTGAGCGACAAACATGGAGCAAATATATTCTTTCAAGATAAGGGTCTTATCCATAAAGAAAGATTGTGCTCAAATAAGTATCCGATGAAAATCAAATATTTACCAAAAGGTAAATGGTTCTGCTATCTACGGTTATGCAGCGAAGAAGAAGACATCCGAAAAGGAACGTGGTTTGAGAACTCATGACTCGCCAGTCTACGATTTATTTATTTGTGGTACAAAGAGCTGACTTCGATTCATTTTTTTTTTGAATGACAGCTTCAGTTAAATTACAACATGAGGATGGACTAGAAAAATTATCTCTGAGAGGCTTGTTGGAATTCTTTAATATCTTATTCTAAAACAAAAGTTAATGGTACTTACAAAACATCCAAATCGGCGAAAGTTTGTTCATAAAAAGGAAACATAAGATAGGGTGCATATTACCTCCACAGTGGGTTTTTGGAGGTGTTTCAAGAAATGGGAGAGTGCTTTCTAGTCACTTTTGAAGATCACTCTGCTAAAACTTTAAACCACGAGTGTGGGCACTGGGTCCAATGGATCTGCCTGATTAAGCAAAATTTTCTCAAAATATGTCTCTTTCACGCAAGTTTTTGAGGTAGAGTGTAGTTGTGTCTGAGGTCACCCTCTTTATGTTTCCAAAGTGTTTTCCCTTTGGCTTTGAATCGGAGTCTTTTTCTGCTCGGATCAAGTCTTTTAGTCCCAGCATGCCTTTTCGCACTGCTGTTACATAGTTGATTTGTGATAGTATAGAACAGGGGTGGCCAATTTTTTTGTATATAAGATCTACTTTTTATCTTAAAAGTGTGTCACGATCGACTGGTTGTCATTGTTTAAGGGGGGGAGGATGTAAAATACATACAATGTTTATAAACTGTATTTCAGCATAAGGTGCATTCCAGCAAGATATGGGTAGATAAGTAAAATATATGTTCAAAGTTATTTTTTATTTTTAAATCACTTATGAAGTTTTCGAGATATAGGCTTATGAAGAAAATAAATTTCCAGATCCAACTTTTAATAGCAGCATTCCGTACATGCGGTGCCTAAAAAATTCGATTTTCTACACTTTTTCAAGATTTTTTTTTACTAACAAAAAATGCAATTTAATTTTTTTTATCTACTGCCATGTATAAGTTGTTGTGCTATTTGTTCCTTAATATGGAAAAGTTCTTATAAAAAAATGCACAGTATGGCTGATAATTTGATTTCAAAATCTCACTTTCGCTTTTTTTTTTTGTCTAGGAGAAATTATTATGAAAGAATAACACGGCTTACTTTTTGCTAATCTATTAATAGCTCACTGAGCATATCTCGTACTGAAATACAGATATGACATACTGAAATATAATGTTTATCTGCCTGCGTAAAAGACAGCAACATAATTATTTAAAGATTCTGAAAACTCATGTCAAACAATAAGAAGAACATGGGATGATGATTAACAATATTTATTAATTCAAAGGAGCTACAGATTAAGACAGATTTAGAATTTACTTTGTTGCCTTAACATCAATGGGAAGACTGAGTTTGCATGTCCCTAACCAAGGAATCATAATTAGGTGTATTATGATTACATAAATTCTTTATTATACATAAATTGTTTTATTGGAAAAAAATTATTGGAAACAAGGAGGGGGGGAGATGCAGTGTTTGCTCAGCAAAAAAGCATAGGAAAAAATGCACTGTGCCAAGTGTAAAAAATATTTATTTAGAACCACAACACTTTGTTTAATGTGCTGTTAACATTTGTTGTTGCATTTTTTTCTCTGTGTCTATAGTGCTAATAAAGAAAATAAAGAATCAATGCAGAATAAAAATATACTATTTTTTTCCCATATGCTAATATACACAGTCAAAAGTCGTTAATCTGGACTCGTCGGGACTTTGGCGATTCCGGATTATAGATCATCAGTTTAAATCGCGTAAGATGGCATGCAGAAATTCTAAAATTAAAAATATGAAACCATAATTTATGAAATAAAGAACAATTATGATCTAAAGGGTATCAAAATTTACAAAAAAAAAAGCTTAATATTTATTTGTTTACTTTATTAAACATTTCTTTCAATGCAAGTTCTTTAAGTTGCTTCGTTTTATGTGATAATACTTCTCTTTAATTCTATAAACAGACATAATTTTTGTTCAGTTACAAAGGTTTTCGCTGTTCAAGTCCCGTTAATTGATGTGCCGAGAATACCGACTAACTTGTCAATCGAAATTTTTTCGTTTTCACTAACCTCTCTGTCACTTCTTCATGTCTTTATCCATTTTTTTGCAGCAATTCCACTTTTTGTTTGATGGACATCGAAACATACTTTCGTTTTTACAGATCCTTTGGGAGCTCCAGCATCGGAAATTCTATTTGACATAATCGAAAGTTCAAGTTTGCTTTTATAAAGTATTGCTCATACAGTCTGCAAAAAATAATAAGCCGATCCAATTCGAAAATTAAGGAACAACGCAATCATCAACATTAACTGAAATAGATAATTAGATAATTTTAGCGGACGGTATAGTACGTTATACATAAAACGCGAACGCGAAAACGTATTCTGCGCTTGCGCACACGCAAACGTGCAGTCGAAAGAGGTTTTACACACACGCGTAAACGCCTATGCACATGTGTCAACGCGGCGCATGCGCAGAAAGTTTTTAGCTTTGAGGTCCGGATTATAGATCATTCCGGATTATGGGTGTCCGAATTAATGACTTTTGACTGTACTGTGATTTTCTATTTCTTTAAGATATTTCATTTTATAAAAACGTTTGGTGAAATTAAAAATTTCAATGCACATTCTTTCTAAGTTAGATCATAAAATTTATTATTGGCACAGATACAAGACTTTTTCTGAAGATTTATAATTTGTTTTTTCAAAAAACATGTGCACTTATGTAACTCATATAATCACGCATGCTTCCAGATTAATGGACGTGATAGAGAATAATATAGCAGATGGAATAATGATACTCTTGGACTGCTCAAAAGGTTATCCAGTCTATTAAAATTTTTTAGGGCAACTCTAAATGGAGGAACAAATGCCCAAGAGGCACTGCCCATCAATATTTTGACTCTTACTTTGTAGAATTCGTGTGGCACTGCTTACATCTGAATTCCAAAAAATTTTCTGCCGTACTAGCAGCTATTTTAAATTTATATCTCCTATTTAATGTTCTCATTAATGTGAGCATTGGTTTTTTAGTGATTATGAAAAAAAAAATTTTTTTTTGTAAGAATAAATGCTATTTGTAGTAATAAATTGCTGTCTATGGACTATTCTTATATTTGCAAACTGTTTACAATTAAAAAATGAGGCAAAATGCATGGCAAGCGCATAACAGAAAGGTACCATCAATCAGATGATTGTAGAATGTTCATTTACTTATCATTTAAATACAGTCAAAAGTCGTTAATTCGGACATCCATAATCCGGACCTCAAATCTAAAAACTTTCTGCGCATGCGCTGCGTTGACACATGCGCATAGGAATTTACGCGTGCGCGTAAGACCTTTACGACTGCGTATATGCGTGTGCGCAAGCGCAGAATAAGTTTTCGCATGCTCGTTTAATGTATAACGGACAGTATAAGCTAAAATTATCTAATTATCTATTTCAGTTAATGTTGATGATTGCGTTGTTCCTTAATCTTCGAATTGGATGCGGCTTCTTCGAATGAATTTCAAGAAATCATTTTCTTTTGATTGATTATTTTGCAAGTAATATTATTAAGCTCTAATTTTTTAAAATCAGAATGGTATTTTTTCCTTTTTTTTTAAAAAAAAAAATATTTTAGCTATTTCAAGATATTCAGCAATAGTTTATAAATCTCTTTCAGATTATTTTTTAAAGTGTTAAGCAGAAATTATTAAAATTATTATTTTTCTTTTAAGAAATTAATATAGCTGAAATAGAAAAGGAACAAGTCCAGTAAATCTTTAGTAAGATAAAATCTGATGAATCTGAAGTATTAACATATAAGTTTATTTTAAATACAAACAACTAGTATTTTATTTTAAAATCAGAACTATTTTAAGTACAAGAACTTTCTCCTTCTCTCTCTCTCTCTCCCCCTTTTTTTGTGCACTTGTGTGTGGCATTCAGGAGTTGATTACATGTATTTTTATTTAATTTTATGCAAACATGTTTTGTCATTCATAAAGTATTTTAAAAATTGATTCACACTTTTTTAAATTGTTACAGATCCACAAATCGTTTTATATTCTTATAAGCATCCCACAGAACTTTTAAGGGTATTGATATGTTATAATGGCCATCATAAAAAAAAATCACTGATCATAAAATGCAGGATAAAAAATTTTCCAACCTGAAAACATAAGGAAATAATGAAAACATTATGGAAAGCAGTAAAATGTAACAAAGTTAGGCTTATGAGCATTTCCTGTGTACATCTTCTCACCTTCATAATTGCTGGATTACCTTCCTTCTGCATAATTACATTTGCCTATTCTATTTTAAGATAAAATGATCCCCTGGCCCCCCAAAAGAAAACTGATTTTTTCTTACTCTCTATTCAATCAGAAATTGATAACAAATTTTGCACTGAAAAGAATTAAATTTGTCTACACTACATAAAAAATATCTCTCTCGCAAGAACAATCTGTATGTGTGAAGTGTTAAACGGGATTAGGTTCCATTTGGTGAACTTTGGTAACTGCTCGTGGAAGTTTTAATTTCTTTTTATGGAATGTGCACTGTAACTCAATCCTCTGGAGCTCTAAAATATTGGGTCAGTCCATAAATTCGTGCACATTTTTGGTAAATTTTTAAATAATATAAAAAAACACAATTTAACATTTTAATCAATTATATATTTTTCTCCATTATCTACAATGTCTCGCCATCTTACCGGCAGCTTTTTTATGCCATTGCTGTAGAAAGACTCTGGTTTTGATGCAAAAAAACTTGAAAGTTCATTATGCACATCCTGTTTAAAATGAAATTTTTTTCCCAGTAAAAAATTTTGGAGAGTAAGCAGGATGTGGCAAAAGTTCTCAATTAAATTCACTAATTTTTTGCTGCATTGTTTGAGTCATATGCGGTCTAGCATTATCATGATGAAACAACACTTTCTTGATATTCACCAATCGTGGGCGTTTTTTGATCAATTCTGAGTTTAGATGGCAAAGTTGTTCACTATAAACTTCTGAATTAATCGTTTGATATTGTTCTAACAGTTCAAAACGTCCTGAACGGGGTTCATCATCAATGCTGCTTTTTCCAACTTTAAATTTTTTAAACCATTTCTGGGCAGTAAATTACAGTCCTTTTATAGAATGTTCACCATGTACACTATTAATTTTTATCGCTACAAACCTGGCAGATTCACCACACGAAAATAGAAAATAGCACAGCACGTTTGTACTGATTTTCTATATTCATCTTCTATGGGTACTAAAATGTGTTCAATATTTACGAAAGTTGGTGATGAACTGAATAATATGTTAGTCAAGCGATGACAAGTTTCACCAGGTTCAAACTTGTATTGTTTTAGTAAATGCGTCATAGTGAATTCCACGCATACTCTTAATGTGCACAAACTTATGCACTGACCTGATAGCTTATAAGCAGAGTATTTAAATTATGCTTACATAATAATATTTTATTTTAAAATCACAAACATTTTACGTTCAAGAGTTTATTTATTTATTTAGTTTTTTAGTGTAACATTTAGGAATTGATTACTTGTATTTTTATTTAAATTTATGCAAACATAATTTGTCATTTATAAATTATTAAAAAAATTAATTCATGTTTTTTTAATTATTACAGATCTACAAATCATTTCACATTAGTCGTTTGTGGACAAGGTGTTGAAACTTTTATCTTTTAAATTGTATTTGATTCTAGTTTTTAAATAGTTGATGAAGATTTATGTAATTTATGTAAATAAAATTTTTTTATATGTTATAAATTATATGTAAATGTGTTAATATTATACTGTTATATGAGTGACAAGCTGATTAGTTCATAATTAAATTGGGATTGCTTTATGGTAATGATAGAACATTACTTCTTAAAGGTTAATATATTTTCTGCTTATCTGTCTTGTTATTCAGTAATCTCCAATAATAATGAAACAATTTAAAATGCTATGAAATTCTTTATTTATAAAATTAAAAATTCTTATACTGATGTAGTAAACTATACATGGTACACTATTTTGGGTAAGGTTATGTTATTCAAATATGGCAAAGCTATCTCCACAAGAGCCATCTACCTAAGATGAGGGATGCTTTTGTTGATGATTTTCTATAGGAAACTGACTTTTATTACACATGCAGATATTCATGAAAAACAACCACATAACCTACCCTTTTGCCTGGGATTGAACCCTAGTTGAACATCCAGTATTCAGTGGTCTTAACCACCTGGTCACTAGTGGGAGCCATAGTATAAGAAAATCCTTATCTAGATCAAGCTACACAAATCCACAGTTTTGTAGAAATGTATCTCTAAACAGCTGAGTTCAAGAGCTATTGAAGCAAAGATCTCTTTTGTCATATATATTTACAATTTTACACTGACTATCTGAAGTTAAGCACACAATACACATTAGCAGTCAAAACCATAATTGAATTTAAATGACTGAAAATACCTGTGAATGCACATGACAACATGTAAATATCATATGTTTCCGATAATTATGATTGACTGTCTGAATATATGCTAATTAGGCAGATTTTCAATATATTTCATACTGAAGGTTTGTCTAAATGCTGATATGAAGTGTTTAGAACTTTTTGTAGAATAATTTTTGCTGGTATTTGTGTTTCTATGGCTGTAAGAAGATGAATGTGATAGTGAGTTCTGGAATGCTGTTAGATCTATTGAAGCAAGTCAGTCAATTAGAGATGTCACTCTTTTCTTTGCTGCTGATTATTTGGTAATTTCTTGAATGTGAAAAACAATTCCAAATTAGTCACAGTATTCCAGAGATTATATACTATGAACTCTTCTGACAGAATTGACGAGCAACTTCCACAACTGCTACATCCGTGGTTGCAGGATCACTTGGTAAGACAGTATCTGCTAATACTGTGTGTCAAATGCTTTATATGAAGGGACTGTATACCTATTACCAAGTGTTTCACTAACAGCCCACTACAGATGGACAAGATCAAAGTAGTGTCATCAACATCCCATTTGGACTGTCTCGGATTTGTGCAACATCCTGTTTATGAATAAGTCTATATTTGCCTTGGAATTCAGTTATAAGCATGTAAGGGCATAGAGAGAAAGAGGCACATGGAATATTCCCCAGAACTTCATCAAACATAACAAATTCAGAGGTGTCAGCATCATCATATGGGTTGGAATTTCAATGAGATATCGCATGTAGCTGCAGATCTTTGAAGATGGTTCTGTAACAATGGTAAATTTACCTAATACATATACATTGATAGCTGTTTTTATTTTGTCTATAAATTATAAGGGTTGGATAAAAAAGTAGTGACATCATCTCAGCAGTTCTGAAATAATGTTATTATTGCAAGTCCAAACTCATACAGTTTACCAAAGTATTGAAAAGGCCATTTGGGATGGTTGTTCACTTCATTCAATGAGGCAATAAATCATAATAAAGTTTGGGTAAAGTCATCATATACCTGTCATCATTTACCTTAAGTAGTCATATACCTGATTGATGTTAAGTTTTGTTTGGTTAGTTTTAACTAAAAATATCAATTTGTCAGCTGCCCAAATGCAACATCATGATGTAATTTACAAAAATTTAATATTGTTTTGCTCTTCATACATAATGCTTGTTTTCTTTCATGCATAAACTTATTTGCTACCTTCATGTGCAATTTGGTTTTAATAAAAATTTTACTCCAATTTTCTTGATTTTCGTATTACTTACTTAACTTTTGGAAGCCAGTGTGTTATTTTCCAAAAGAAAAAAAAGTTTTAAGTACCTGTCATTTTAGACACAAAGAAAAGGAGTCATACAGTTTTTTAATATTTCTGAACATTGTAATTTCTAGAAGCTATCATCATGTGTTGTAGAAGGTAAAATTGAGATCTAGAGAACTGGAGTGTTTTCTTAGTGCATAAATTGATGAAATGGAAACATAGTTTCTGTGTTTTATACCCTGTGTGATACTTCTTTGGCAATATGAAGCAACTCCAATGATGGAACACAGAAGAAAACTTTATTTAGCACTCAAAATGGCGACATACAAAACAAAAAGAAAAAAAGAATTCTAACATTTAAAATAATTTGCATTCTTCGTTCGAAAGCGCAGTGGGCACTCGATCTGGTTTTCAAAAGTGCTTACAATACCTTAATGTTCATCTATTTAAATTATTTAAACTACAAATTTTAATAATATTTAAAGCTGTTACACCTGAAAGCAAACTTTGATAAAAATGTCATTCTAAAACTAGTGTAATGCTAAAACAAATGCCTCAGTTGAAAATAATTTCACTTTTTGTTTATTCATTAAACTTCTGATGCAAAAAGAATGTATCCTTTTTTTGTTCTCTACCATAGCATTTTAAATAATCAGGGTTCGTACGGTCCTTAAGAGTCCTTAAAAGCCCTTAGATTTTTTGGAATCGATTTTTGGTCCTTAAAAGTCC